TAATGCGAAATTCAGTCCAATTCATTATTTGAACTAGTATATCGATGTTTGTTGAAAATGGTTTTAATTTTTACTAGTTTTTTGGTACAAAATTGATATTTCACTCTGTATGTATGTCCATAATAACTATCAGTATAATCTGATGACGAGAAAAAATTGTTTGTTTGAAGGTGATTGACGATTTACGTTAAAAAGGGGTTTACAAGAACCGCAAGACNAGCTTCATTTGGCTTCAGGAGCATCAATGAAAAACCTAAAATTCAGGAGGGATATATTTCACTCGTTTTTCTTGAATGTGTTGTCATTAATAATTAAAAAATATTTGGGAAAGGTTTTTGGCTTTTTATACTACTCCCCCATCTTCAAACAAAAAATTGAGAAATATCCCTAAGGAAGGAAGATAGCAAGTAAATTCATAGACGGAGAAGTTAAAAGCCAAAAACCTTCCTTTCAAAAACTAATCTATCCTAAAAGTATACTATATATGAATATATTTAGAAAATTATGGTAAAGAAGGTTTTCTGCGGTGAGATTATATTACTCTTCAACAACTGCTTTCAACAAAAAATTGAGAAATATCCCTAAGGAAGGAAGATAGCAAGTAAATTCATAGACGGAGAAGTTAAAAGCCAAAAACCTTCCTTTCAAAAACTAATCTATCCTAAAAGTATACTATATATGAATATATTTAGAAAATTATGGTAAAGAAGGTTTTCTGCGGTGAGATTATTATATCCCTTGTCAATTGTTTTGCTATGAACTTTGAAGTCATATTTGTACTGCACCAGTAATTGAATTGTTTACTTGAATTCAGTAGTTGACGGTTACAAAACTGTTTATGTTTTTACAGAAGTTTTCTGACACGCAGAGAATAGATAATTTTTTGAAATCATATTTTAAATTACAACTACCTAAAGTAATTTCTATTTTTGGCTTATTTTTCTTCTGGAAAACAAGTCACCCTGTACCTAGATTCACAAAATCGCATTACCTATCGTCTCGGTAGCCAGGAAAGCACACCATGCTATTTGGGTATGGCAGAGGCGTTCTCGGTACTTCTAGAACTGTAATTTCGTGATATCTGAAGATAAGTCGAGTCGTGAAGTCTACGTAAATGCCAGATAGTTACTGTAAGCGTTCTCTACGGTTACACACGATTGTTTGTTTTACGTTTGTTTTTATCTCCTGATTCGCGACTGGATTTACGTTTAAATTTTTGACAACAAAGATGGCAGTGTACGTTGATTAATGAGTTGGGTTCTTTACGAATGCTGAAAATAACAACGGTTTATAAATGTCTCATCCAATTTGATCAATCGCACACAAACGAAATTACTGCAATGGCAGACTTATTATCTTCTTGAAATATTACTGAGATTTTATTATCAAGCATAATAAATGTATGGCTTTTAGGCTAGTCGAACACTCAAAAGCTTTTAATCTTAATTAAACATCAACTTTCAAGCGGATTTGGTTGAAACTGTTCTTGTTTCAAGAAACAGAAGAAATACAGAAAAATATTTATCTGATCAGCTGAAATATGATACAAGTATATACGAAAAGTTTGGATATTTAAAAGAGAAAAATAAATGTGTTGAACGCCCTCTTCAATAAAAGGATTATAAAAAAGTTTCCCATTTGGTGCAAACTTTTTGAAACTCAGGAGTTAAATATGAAAAGTTGGTTACCATAAGCACAATGAAATATTTTAATTGTGTTTTGAATATTGATTATAAAGCGTTTACTTTGCCAGTAACAATGGGGTTACCAATTCAAAGGACCTCTGAATAAGAGTAGTCAAATTTGTTACGAGACCAAATACGCAGATTACTGTTACAATGCTCAATGTGAAGGAATCTGTAGAAACTACTCTATAGAAGAAATAAAATCCCTTGACCCACTTTATCCAAACGCTCAAGATTTTTCAGATGAAGAAGTTGAATAGGATCTCTCCAGTGACTATGAGTTGAACTAGTAGCCTGAGAAAATTTGATTTTGTAATTTCTATCAAATAATTCTTAAAATATGAAATGAGATTTTGCTAATATGACAAAGTGTGGTACTAGCAAAATCTCATTTGTCTATTGCCCTGGGCAGAATTTTGAAACTACCCTTATTTTACTCTCAAATCCGAATATATTCATCACATTTGGAAATTTTGAATGAATATTGCTATTGCTGATGATAATAAATGTTTGGAAGATACTCACGCAGCTTCATTTGGCTTCAGGAGCATCAATGAAAAACCTAAAATTCAGGAGGGATATATTTCACTCCTTTTTCTTGAATGTGTTGTCATTAATAATTAAAAAACATTTGGAAAAGAAAGGTTTTTGGCTTTCTATACTACTCCTCCATCTTCAAAAAAAAATTGAGAAATATTCCTAAGGAAGGAAGATAGCAAGTGAATTCATAGACGNTTAAAACTTAAGAACCAATTGACGTTCGAATGTAATAATAATATAATAATAATAATAATAATAATAATAATAATAATATTTATTCATCTTAATGATCCACCCATGACTGGTGATTTCTAGTTCGTAGGTTGTATTCATGTATTTATGACGACGGCCTTCACATTGAAAATCCCGGCCGCGAAAGTCTTAACCAGTTTAACAGTAATAATAATAATGTATTTGCTCAACATTACATAGTGTTTAGATGTACAATAAAGTTTGTAACAATAATAGCAAATAAAATGAAAACCCATAAAAGGTGAAATCGTGTGCATAGATATGCTGTTAAAACATAAGTATGTAATGAAATGTAACAATCAAATGAAAATATTAATGATAAATATAATGAAAGTGCAGATAGTATACCTATATAAAAGTGTGTTATGTACACTATAAGTTTAGATCAAAGAGTTACACAATAACAATAAAATATAACAATAGAAGTGAAATGAGTATGGGAGTATAGGTAAAGTTGGGTGCCCACAAAAATATTAAACTATTTTATTTTCGTTCATTATTAATGAATCTCTTTTGATGCTCACAAATATTAGCAGAATATTTCAAGCAGTTCAAGTTGAATGTACTTTCAAGTTTTCTATGAATTTGTGTTGTTAGGGTTCAATTTATATCAAACTTCTTTCCTATATTTCTCTTCAAAAAGCTTCGAGAATTTGTTCGAGGGGCCGGTTTAAAATCCAAACCTTCAATGTATTTTCGAATAGGAAACGACCGTTGAGTATTTTTATTTCATTTGGAATTTTTCTGTTGACTATCGGACCTAAATATAGGAGAGGAATCTTTGGTTTTTTGTAGTTCCAACCTTTGGCATTCGGGTTGTTTGGTTTTTCAGTAGAGTATTGTATGGATGTCCTATTTCTTCATGTTCATATTTGTGTTGGTGATGGTAAGATGCAAGATTAATAAAGTATAGTTAATAGATTGTAAATAGCTTAGATTGTTGGAAAAGTTCATCTAACGGAAATCTGTAGTTTTTATTACACATTATCTTTATCAGCAATTTTTGTTTGTTTGAAGGTGATTGACAATGTTTCATGATGAATTTCACTAGTTAGGACTTCCATATAAAATGATTTGAAATCCCTGAAACAACTAAACAAGAAGAATTAAAAATGAATATCTGAAAATATCAATTATATTAAACAAAAATAACCTGAAATGTAATCTCTCAATTTTTTATTTTTATTTTCATTTTTATTTCTTTAATTTTGATTTTTGTTCAATCGTTCTATTTTTACTTGTATTTTATTTCACTATTATTCCATTTCATGTTATTTTTTTAAAAATAATTGTTATTTTCAGCTATTCATTTTTAATTCTTCTTGTTTAGTTGTTTCAGGGATATCAAATCTTTTTATATCTAAGACAATGGAACTCCGAACTAGTGAAATTCAGCAATTTTCGTGTCAATTCTAGGTTTTCAATACAATTATATTGGTTATCCATCCTCAAACAAGTATATGCCATAGTTTATATGTGTGATACAGTTTGAATTTTGTTATCAATGATCTCAATTTTTTTTTTACGTATTCAGCGTGTTCCTGTCATCTAAGATTTTGGTCTATAATGAGGCCTAGATATCTTCTTTCGATGATATTGCTGTTTATATTAACTGTAATTTCATTATATGTGGGTGAGTTGTTGTTATAAATTGAAAAGGCAATAAAGTGGGTATTGGAAAAGTTTACTGTTAGTAGCCTACTATCGAACTGAAGATATGAAGTTTCCAATTCCCTTTCGACCATAAATTTCAAATTGGTTCAATCCTTGCCACGAAATAGAAGGGCATTGTCGTCGGAAAAGTTAATAATAGTCGCTTCCACATCAATATTGTTGAGATCATCGATATAAATGTTGAATAAAATATCGGCCCAAGAATTGAGTTGATCCGAACTATATGAACTATTGACTTTAACTCTCTGTTTTCTGTTCTATAAGTAGCTAGTGAGAAGTTTCAATGGTCCACCTCTGAAATCTATATTTTTTAATACTCTTAGTATCATTTCGAAACGCTTAAAACGCTGTATCTGCGAAACGATAGAAAACATTACATCTTGATAACACCTGTAGAATCGTTAAAAACAATTTGATGTATTTGTACTGTACAAGCATATCAAGGCCTCATCAGTGAATGCGGTATCGAGAGACGTCTTGATTGGAGTCTCCCAAGACCAATGACCACATAGCACTATATGCAATGTAAAATCGGAATGGAAAGACAATTATGAAGCAAACAACGAATTTGTATTTGCAAATTTGAAGCGACACAAATGAAATAATAAATATCCAGAAACTTTTCTCAGAACGAACCGCCAAATGCAAGAACGCAACGGTGGTCCGTCTCGTCGGACAACCGTGCCAACATCGCGGGGCGTGCGTCAGGTAGAGCTCCAATAAGGGGGCCCAATCGACGCGGGGGCGTACCGTACCACGCATCGTCCGCAACCCCGCACACACGCGGAGGCCAGAAAAGCGACGTATACGCAGTCTATGGCATGTTTGCGGTGTTCCGGTCCATCTCTTCTTCGTCGTTAGAACTGTAATTACTGTGATTACCTTACCGAATAACCAGTACTTTGTGACAGAAATTAGAGGTTGGCTCTTATTGAATTATATTAGTGTGTTATAAACAGAATGTGGCTCAATTAGAACCGAGACTTCCGTGCAACCGGTGGAAACGGAATTTCGCGAATATGCACTGCACTTTTTCTTATCAAGTTCAGGCGCAATCGCCTCATGTTGCTGATGGAGCGGAGTATTTGGAGGTAAATGATTTTTTTTCTACGAGGTGGAGCAAAAAGGGGTGTTTTTGGTAATTGATAAAATTCTGTATTTTTCGTACTTATTATCAGCTGCACGACTGAAGAAATTGATTATTTATTTGTGCACACTTTTCAATTTTTTGAGTTTGCGTATGCTGAAATGAATGTGAGTGCAAAGTTGTTAACTGATACTAACCCAGCCTAATGAGTTCTTTTATTAATAAAAATATTTTCCTGGGTAGAGAAAACAAAACAGTATTTTGCCAAAAATGATATCACAAGACCTCAAAATGTAATCGTTAAATTCACATTTTTTAACGAAAACTTTGTTATTTAGCAATATCATGAGAGCAACCAGCATGATAAAACCACAAGTTCTCCAGGAGGTGAGGTTTTATATATTGATGGTATCTCGATTGATATTGCTAAAAGTTTGAGTTTGAAAAATGGACATTCATCTGAGAAAATTTTTAGGTCGAGTGGTAAGTATTCGTAAAGATTAATTCCTGGAATATTATCAGCAGAAAGCATCTTTATGAGAACATCAAAGTGAATCAATTGTATCAATATTTTCATTGCTCTTAGATTTCCGCTGTCGATTTTATAGCGATTTCTCGCTCTGTTTGGCCTATCCCTATTTTTTTTTGATTCTGTGAAATATACTAAAAATTTGTTTCAGAACCCTACTAAGAGAAAATTTTATTTCGATTTGATCAGTACTTACTATTTTTTTCCAGAAATCAGTCTTGTAATGTTCAAAATCATGAAATTTTATATCATGATTATTACAAATCGCTAGAACGAAAGTCTTTCGAATAGTTATGAAACTGTAGGTCAATGTTTAGTTAGAGAAGTATGATATTTCGGGTTAGTTTGTAACCGAATCATTAGTCAGAAAAATAATCAAACTGGATAAAAATCTATTGAAAAAAATGGAATACGAGTGTAATATGAATGAAGAGAAATATATTTATTCGATTACTGACAAATTAACGTCCATACATTGAGAATCCGAATTAGTTTAACAATGAAATGAAAAAACTAGATGAACTTTACAATTATAAAGACGAATTTCTGGAGGTGTACCTATTTATTTCTTTTTCTGATAACAGGCCAATGCGGGTATTTTTGGGCAAGATATGACAATGAAGTCTCGTATTCATCAAAATTATGAAATTTGAATCGATAGAACGGAACATGCGAAAAATAAAAGAAAATGGAAAAAAGTCGAAGTGACAGTAGAGTCCAAATTCCAAGCAAGGTTATATAATTGGAAACTGAGCAACTGTTTTTTTCACTTTTTTTGAAATTCCAAAAAAACTTACTTTTTGAGGATTTATGAAAAAAATGCCCAATTTGACAGGTTAAGAGTAGCACATAACAAAAGGAAAATGGCTGTTTTTCACTCATTTTTCAGGCACTAACTAACTGCTAAGTAAAATTTTCATTATATCTATTAATAAAAAAAATCCATATATCGCGAACTTTATCTCTGATAGTGTATATAAGCGAAATAAATAATACTATTTATCTGTAGAGAATATGATGTGTCGAATCATGCAACAGACATTTCAACTTGAAAAGTGGTGTGATTCTTAACTCAAGATTGGATCTCAACAATCGAGAATGACTATATCCACTAATACCAAACAATGATAACAAAAAAAAATAATTTGAGATGAAATTATAGGTTAACAATAGAGTAACATTTTCATCCACTTTGAACAGATATAAAACTACTTATTTTCAAAAATTTTGACTCTAAAAAGGTTCTTACGGACACTAAGTAAACAAAGTTTTTCTGCGATTGGCATTGAACGTCAATTTTACTGACATTTATGAATTATAGAAATTACAGTTTCATCGCCTAGGCATTAACACTGATTTTTCAATGCCAATGCATGAAAATAACGTTTTTTTTCTTTTTTTTTTTTAATCTTTGCTCTGCACAAACACCACCAAAAATACTGTGATAAATTAACTACGAAACAATGTTAATGTAGATATATTTTTGTAGAAAATATAATTAAAAGCAGATACTTAGAATTCAAAATTCAGAATTTTATTATCATTTCAATTCCAACATTGCTAATCAAAACAAAACACAGAACGTAGAATTTTTGCGAAAACCCAGTAACATTTTGTGGGTTTGGCAGTTTTGAAATTTTCTGTCATTTTTCCAATTTTATGGATACCAAGCTGTTTGTATACATTAGTGTATTTGAAGAAAATTAGATAACCATCCTGATGGTCCACAATGTTTATATTTTCTTTAGAAGTTTGAATATTTCCTTACAATAACTAAGATTAATTTTTTTGTATTCGTGTCAGAAAGAGTAATAGATCATTTTTCCCCATATATTCAATCGTTTTTTTTTTCACTCGGTATAGCTCATCACTTGTACATGCTCCCGCTATACCAAAAATTAGAGCAACCCAAAATGAAAGGGATTTTTACTATTTAATGAACATAAAAAATGTAAATTTTAAATTTTTACCTTCGTAGATAGGTATGTATTATCTGGATTTGTGATTTATGTAGTAACTACTCGGAATTTTTGACACTGTAACCATTTGACTGACGTTTCAAAATGGCTGGCAGTTTAAAATATTGGATATATCTCTGGCATTGTTGATACGCAATATAGTCTTCAACATAGAATATGTAGACCATGAAGTCCAAGACTTCAATTCCTTCGCTAATTCTGCAATGTATGCCAGTTGAACGTTTTCTGAAAATGATCCGTCCTTCTTGTTATTGCGATTATCTATAGATTTTCTATAACATATTCCATATGTATAGCTTTCTGGATTTTGTAGGTAGCAAATTATATACTGCAGAGATGATTCTCTGTGAATAACAATGTGAACACACGTTTTTTTATATAATGGGTGAATAAGCACTCAAAAACAACTTTACACATAGTATAAAAAATATATTGTTTCCAACACGAAACCCATCCAGCAAAAATTCAGAGAAAGAAATTTCAGAGTGAAACAAATCCGAGACGAATCGTGAGGTGTAGTTTTTGAAATTATTAGGTGTTCAGAACTTTCAGGATGGTAAAAAGAAAATATTTTGAAACATTGAGTCCCCAGTATCTTAAAATCAAGTTGCTTTTTAACAATGAAAAGAGTAACTTTGTCAATGAAATTAACAAATTAACAATTGTATTTCATTGTTCACATTATTCAAATCACCCAAATGGTAAGATCGTAACTCATTCCAGTAGCCCCAGGCAAGGGGCTGTGCTCTAGAGCAATTTCCATACGAAATTCTGTATTTTGCAAGTAATATATCCATGCATAAGTAATCCGATATCGGGTACTTATTTTTCAATTAGTAGGTGGTTGATTTTACTTCGATAATGTGATAGTTTCATCAGAGGTTTCGAATTTATTATGTATATATTGATAGAATGATGTGAAAATTGACTTCTAAAACGGACTCAAGTTTGAATTGAAGGGGTTATATTTTTTAGGAGTGATTAATTTTTGGGAAAGAGAATTTTTGGCTTTCTACTACTCCAACTTGATACAAAAAAATGTGGGAATCTTCCAAAGAAAGAAAGGAAGTAATCAATTTGAAAATAAGTAACTCTATACATGGATGCGTAGATCATGCAAAGAAGCAAGTTTCAGACACAAACTGGAAGAAAGCCCTCCTGAAACAGCAACTTTCATATAAACATTGAATTACACGAAAGAAAACAACTCTTTCGAAACAAATACTTTTACATGAACACTGAATTATACAGAAGATACTTTTCTTTACTCAGTTTGTATTCCAAACATTCGTTATGGAATGAAATTCAGATATCAGATATCAGGTATATGGCGAAACATCGATCTATACTAGTGAGGATGACAGTGTTCTATGTAAGTGCAATTTATTACCATACATTTAAAGTAGAACTCCTGTGAATAATATCTGAATTTCATTCCATAACGAATGTTTGGAATACAAACTGAGTAGAGAAAAGTATTTTCTGTATAATTCAGAGTTCATGTAAAAGTATTTGTTTCGAAAGAATTTTTTTCTTTCGTGTAATTCAATGTTTATATGAAAGTAGCTGTTTCAGGAGGGCTTTCTTTTAGTTTGTTTCTGAGATTTGCTTCTTTGCATGATCTACACATCCATGTATAGAGTTACTTATTTTCAAATCGATTACTTCCTTCCTTCCTTTGGAAGATTTCCACATTTTTTTGTATCAAGATGAAGTAGTAGAAAGCCAGAAACTTTCTTTTCCAAAAATGACTCAAGTTCTTCTATGCAAGAATATGCTCTCCCAGCAGCATATACATATATTGTATGTGAATCCAAAGAAAGCACAATCCTCAACTACCAGAACTGCAACACTCTTCTTGACGCGTGTTCACCAACCAAGTTGTCGTATTCAAGAGATGAAGCAGATGAATTCGAAATTATTGTTTTCCATCTCCTGAAGACGCCAACTTGATTGGTCAAACGCGCGTCGAGAAGAGTGCTGCAGTTTTGGTGTTTCAGAACGGTAACTTTATTCTTGTTTTTTATTTATTCTACAGCAGATATATACCTACCATATATTGTAATTGATACCAGAACTGAAGTAACACTTCCCAACCAATCTTGCGTTATCAGGAGATGAGTATAGTTGATTTTCTCATGACACAAATTCGGTTGAGAAAACAGGGGTCCAGATAAATGACAAGGCAAGGAGTGTTTGGTAAGTGGGAGAAATGGTGTTTCAGATTTTTATTAACTTAGGAAAATACTTGACTGAGTAATATTTTCCTATTGAAAATAGTGCTATACGACTTTTCCGATTTCTTCAAGATCAGAATTTTCTTCGAAAGATTTTGGAAAAAAATTGAAATCACGAAATTTTCTTGTTTCTTGGTAAATTTTATAGAAACTTTCAAATTCAAAAGAATCTATGTAAAATAATCGAAAATTTAAATAACCTAAGCTCAGTTTCACCTTTCTTCAATTACTTTAATTACTCAGACAGCAGAAGAATATA